TCATTTATTTTCTTCTTCTTCTATGAGTAGAGTACTTTCACCAAGGAATATTAGAATTACAAACATATCCCTGTTAAAGAGAATTGTCACATTTGTGTTGTGATGAGGAAATAGACTGGGTCTCTTACTCAACTTTATTTTCAAAAACTCAAAGCAAGTAGAAGTAGATCAATAATCAGTACTCTTCACACTCTTTGGGCATTTAGCATTTACAGAAAAGAAGATATGATTTTCCCATGCAGTACAGATATTGAGACATGTATCTTTTTTGGCATAATGGGACTCAAAGTATTAAATCAAATCCAACATTGTGGAAGCTGACAAGAAAAAGAATATCTGATTCATTGACTGAAAATGGGCCTTATCCAACAAAATTTATTTATTTATTTTTATTTTTAAAATTGAATGTGGAGAAAAGCAAAGTTTTACACTTAGGCTGGAAAAACCAAAGGTACAAGTACAGATTAGGCAAAACCTGGCTCAAAAACAGTAACTGAGAGGACCTAGAGGACAATCACCTAAATATGAGTCAGCAGTGTGCAGCAGCAGCCAAAAAAAGCTAATACAATCCTTGAGTGTATAAACAGAGGCATAGAATCAAAATCCTGTGAAGTATTAGCCTTGCTTTATATAGCCTTGGTAAGGCCACACCTGGAATACTGCATCCAGTTTTGGTCACATTACAAAAAAGATGTTGAGACTTTGGCAAAAAGTGCAAAGAAGAGCAACTAAAATGATTAAAGGCCTGGAGACAAAATTATGAAGAACAGTTGCAGGATTTGGGTTTGGCTAGTCTAGAGAAAAGAAGGACTAAGGAGGAACATGATATCAGTATTCCAGTATTTGAGAGGCTGCCACAAAGAAGAGGGGGGTCAATTTATTTTCCAAAGCACTAGAAGGCAGGACAAGAAACAATAGATGGATATGAATCAAGGAGAGAAGCAATCTGGAATTAGGAGAAACTTCCTAAAAGTGAGAACAATTAACCAGTGAAACAGTTTGCCACCAGAAGTTATGGGTGCTTCATCACTAGAGGTTTTTAAGAAGAGACTGGACAGTCACTTGTCTGAAATAATACAGGATCTGCTTGAGCAGCAGGCTAGTCTAGACCACCTCCAAGCTCCTTTCCAGCTCTATTCTGATTCTGAATCCTTAGGTTTCTTGGAAGTTAATCAGGGAACAGATTAAGAATGGCAAGAGTGCATCCTTGAAAGACGTCTTCTTCACACCTATGGGTACAATGGCCATATTTTCATGAAAAAAAATAAAGGACAAACCTGAAAAGGAACAAATCTAAAAGAGGTTCATAAGAATTAAAAAAATGTTTGTTTATAACTAGTACAGTGCTACCTGCTTAGATTAACCATTGATAGCTAACTATCTAAACCAAAATTAGTATCCATTATAAAGTTGTAAAGTTTTATGCATCTTCAAGAAAAACCAGCTAACTAATCTATGGAGGACAATTTTTTAGGAACTCGTTTAGACTGGATACCAGCACACAATTCAACCAAAGCACTAAACTGATATATTGATTAGTACCAGATGTGAAATATGCTAAATATGCATAGACATATTCAAATTACATCATACATTTAATTAGTATAGCAAAAATATGATTGGGTTATGACAAACTATATGTCAGGGCAGTAGATGGTGTACTGTCCCACGATCTATCCATATTTGTAAAATATGCTCCCTTTCTTTGTCTATTTTAATTTGGTCTCTGACCGCAATAAAGCTTACTTACTTACTTACTTACTTACTATATGTTAGGATGTCCTAGTATTTCATGGCTGAATTAGCAATTTATTTTTCTTAGAGAAAGGGCATGTCAGAACTGGGTGAATATTTAGACAGAAGGGGTAATTTTGTTTGCCTATTCAAATGCCGTTTTCTCCTGTGCACAAAATAAGCACGAATGGATTAAGTTAATAATTGGATGGCAGACCACCAAGAAATCGGAGGGCTATTTGCTAGACTAGGAAGTTAAAAAATAGATGGAGATAATGACAAACTATCCTTATATGGTTGCCAAAAAAATAGATGTATTGCCCATGCTGTCACCAAGAACTGAGGTCAACTGAAAGAAGACTTCACTTTTGCCTAATAAGGCCTTGTAAAACCACCAGCTTGAATTATCTGTGGTTTTTTTGTCAAGACTATGGTTGCTTCTGCTTTGTATTTTTTTTAAAAAAAATCCCTGGCAAGGGATCTAACCATTTAAAAACTGTCATCACATATGGGTTTGTTGGGAACATCTGTGTACCAGGTAGTCCCTTACTGATAGGACTTCATGATAAGTAGTCCAGAGCAGAGTTTGCTTACAGGTCCATTACAGCAACTATTGCATATAGAGGAAAGTAAGAATCAATTTGCTGCTTCCTTACTTGACCTCTCCGGCTCTTGAATCTTTCTTCAAAGGTGTGTGGATAAGTGAAGCACATCTAGGGTAATGTAGCTACTACATATTCATAGTGGGTGCATCTGTGTGTGCAGTGTTAAAAAGGGTGCAGGCAACCATGGTCATCTGCAGGTGGGGAAGGGGGACAAATGAAGAAATGAGCATCATGACACATGCTTGTTAAATGCATCAATTTATCACACATATGTAAGTTGATAAATGGTGGCACAATGTTAGAAAGCAGGCTAATTCTGCAGGCTAATTCTGCTGGCTACCAGCAGTTCAGCAGTTCAATTTTCACCAGCTCAAGGTTGACTCAGCCTTCCATTCTTCTGAGGTTGGTAAAATGAGGACCCAGATTGTTGGGGGCAATATGCTGACTCTGTAAACCGCTTAGAGAGGGCTGTAAAGCACTGTGAAGTGGTATATAAGTCTAAGTGCTATTGCTATTCATGATACCCATTTTGTCATTCTGATAAAACTGACCAAAGAAGTTATAAGAACTTTGGGACAGAGCAAGCATCACATACTTGAATTCACCATACTGCAACTACAGATAATTAAACCAAGCTAGACTAATGTTTTTCTTTAAGATTTCAACAAGCTATTAGAGAGAGTAGGAAGAATTCCACAGATGGATATCCTTAAAGGAAAAGCATTCAAGATGCTTGGAAAACTCTGAAAAATGAGATAATGAAGGCCCAAGCAAAAACAATACTACAGAGAAAGAAAAAGAAAAGAGATCAGATGAGACTAGCATAGTTGCTTAAGAGCTCTCTGAGAAATTGAGGGAAAAAAGGTCAAATATATATAAAAAAATACAGCAGAATACCAACAAACAGCCTGAATCTATTCTACAAGGAGGGAGACAGGAAAACCAAGGCCCAGAATGAGTTAAAAGTAGCAACCAATGCCACTAATAATAATAATCTTTCAATATATAAGGAACAAGAAAAAAGTCAAGGAAATGATAAGCCTACTAATGGAAATAGATGACAGGCAGCAGTGAGAAAGCAGAACTGTTTAATTCCTTCTTTGTATCTGTTTTTTGCAAAAGGGAAAAGAGTCCAACCTTTTCCAAGCAACAGTGACAGAAATAAAATAGGTGTACAAATCAAAACAGGCAAGGAATTAGTAAGAAAATACCTATCCATCAGTGTATTGCTACAGCCAAAAAAGCCAATGCAGTCTTGGATGCATCAACATAGCATCAAGACAATGAGAAATGATACTATCGCTTTACACCATGCTGGTGAGACCACACTTGGAATACTTCATCCAGTACTGGTCACCACAGTACAAAAAAGAGGTTGGGATCCTGGAAAGGGTGCAGAGATGAGCAACGAAGTCCAGAGATCCTGGAAAGTGTGCAAGGTCTGGAGGCTAAATTGTATGTTAAACGGCTGCGGAATCTAAGAATGTCTAGCCTATCAAACAAATGGATCAGGGGGACATAATAACTGTCTTTCTGTATTTGAAGGAATCTCATACAAAAAAGAAGGGATTGATTTATTCTCTAGGGCACCAGAGAGAAAAACAAGAAGTAATGGGTGGAAGCTTGTCAAAGAGAGATAAAACCTAGAAGTAACAAGAAATTTTCTTGACAGTAAGAGCAAATAATGAGTGGAATAGCTTCCCTACTACATTTGTGGATTCTCACTAGAGTACCATTTCACTGGGATGATGTAAGAATCCTACCTTGAGCAGGGGGTTGGACTAGAAGAGCTCTGAGGTACCTTCTAGACCTATGATTGTATGCTTATGCAGATGCTTTTGCGGGCAGCATCAGAACACAGCAAATCAGTGCAGTCCTGCACATTTTAGTTGGATTGCTAACCATAATGTCTGTGTCTTGCTATGTTATTTATTCTGCCTTTATCATCTACCAAGCCCTCTTTCAGTTTTTATTTGTCCATTGAGAGGTTCTTCAACTTTGCTTGAATGTTATATGGCTGTTAAGGCTTGACTTTTTATTCCATATGATAGTGTTCATTATTCTAAGATAGGGTCAGTCTTTTGTGATTGTCCAAATCTGTGTCCACAAAAAGATTAGAATCAAGTTTTAATGAGATGTGTTATATAGATGCCTAGAATCTGGCAAACCTGTCTATTATTTTCCTCCCCTCCCTCTTATACTCAGGTGAGTCAGAGAGGAATCAGTTTGAATCTTTTTCAAATACTATGTCTTCTCCTAGGGCTCAGCGAAAGCTCCTGTCCTATTTGTTGTGGTAGTGGCTTCTTAATATTTCATTCTCCATAGCTCTCTGTAGATAACATGAATATGTGTTGCAAAATTGCATCCAATTTTTAAAAATGTTTAAAATTGAGACTATTTATCATTCTCTTTCTCCCCCACCCCCCACAAATGTAATATATAACATATGTAATGAAAAAGAGATTTTACTAGAGAAGAGGGGAATATGTCTGGATATGAACTTTTCTTCATATCTCCTTGTGTTATATGGGTTTGTAACTATCCACTCTATATCTTTCAGTTCTGTCAAGAATAAGGCAAATTGATTGTGTCAGTATTTCTTGCTGCTAAACACAAGTAAAAGAGCCATTAATGTCTGGAACATAAACTGTTGCTTTCTAGGTCGCTGGGATTTTCATGCATCTGCTATTCTTGCAGATGGACCTGATGCTATGATCACAATCCTAATATCCCTCGTCTGCAGAACTACAAAAACGTAAGTGCTTGGTTAGCTGTTTCTTATTCACAGGCAAATAGGACAGTCAGTGAGCCTTCCTGGCCAGGAATACTAAGGGGAAAAGCTGGAAAACTAGAAGCCATGACTTCAATTCTAACATTAATTAATTCAAGGAACTGCAGGGCGGGGTATGCATCCTTGTAAACAGCATGCAATGGTGCATGGGAACGTGAGGAAGAGGTTAGATTTATTCAAAACTGGGCATGACTGCCTATGTCCCCTTGTAATAAGAAAAACAAAGATTAAAATGTATTTATATATATTTTGCCCTCAGTGCTGTGATTTATGTAGGACCTGTGTTAATGGAATAGATGTTTATAAGACAGAATAAAGATGCCATGTAGGATTATATTATGCTCCATGATAATCAAATTGGAACAACATTTAGCGATGGTGGATCTTTCTAACCCATATGCGGGGAAGTCCCTATAAAACTGCCCCAATCTTTTATCTCTGTTTTCCCTCTGATCCACATAACACATCAAAATGGGGGAAGAGGAGGTCCATGTTAGCTCCCATATCCACATTTGTTTTGATTAATTAAGTTCTATTAGAAGTCTATTAGAACTAACAATAATGACTGGTTGAACAATTTAAACTCATGGCTGGAATCCTATACCAGAAAATAGAAATAGTTCTAGGGAGATACCTTTGTTGTGGCCCGGCGGCAGCCAGCAGAGCTGGCAGCAGATTCGGACAGTGAGGAGGTTGGAGAGGAACTTGGGCCAGTCCTGGGGTCTGGGGAAAGCTTGGACAAGGGCTCTGCATTAGAGGCAGAGAGGGGGCCAAGGCCATCTGATAGTTATGTGCTGCCTCCAGAGTCTCCGGAGCCCCAGAGTCTGACATCAGCAAGGCAGAAGAACAGCGGGAGCCTGTTCCCAGTGTGCACATACACAGAGCTGCCAGAAGACAAGAACAATTAAGAAAACAGGGTCGACTTGGGAGTAAGGCTTGGAGATGGTGGGCCCCTCCCATATGACATAAAAGAGGAGCAAATGGGACATGAGCTTTTGCAGGAAGCAATTAGTTCATCTGGTCAGTTCAAGCTTTGAAAAGTTCTGTTTGACTCTGTGCCAAATTTGGCCTTTCCCTGCGTTTGGCAATTTGTTCTCTAGCAGCATTCCAAGGGAGATAAGGTAGATGTTTATAAACATTCTCCTGAAGGAGACTTCCGGTGCAGCTGTCAGGGCGGAAAGATCGGCGCTGCGTTAGGTCTGCAGCGACGAACGATTTTCCAGACATTCCGCGCCTTTTTTTGCCATTCTCAGCCCCGGAGAGGTTGGGAGAGCAGAGAGGCTTTCTTTGGAGGTGAGGAGGGGGAGTGTGACCCCTCGCCGCAACGAAGCGTGAGCTCCGAGGATCCGGAGGACAGGAAGAGGGCTGTGAAAACAGCGCCCCCAAAGCCAATGATGCTGCGTTTCCTTTTGACCGGTACGGGGAGATGGGACGGAACGAGATAGGGAAGAAACAAGAAAGAGACTGATTTAAAAATTAAAGGGATGCTACAGCAACTGGAGATAATAGCGGCAGCTGAGATTACCAAGTGAAGGAAGCTTTTACTCACTAACTTTTTAATCATCTTGCTGCTGTGGATTTGGAAGGAAACGGAAGTACGAATCAATTGGCGTATTGAATTACAACGAATAAAAGAACAATAAATTTGGATCTACTAATTGTATGAAGTGGGTGATGATCAGGGGGTAATTCTTCTCCTGAACCCCCTTCCAGGAGCCTTAATAGTGAGCCCTTTCCAGTGTAATTTAATCACTCTAATGAACTGAATTAATCAAAGTGTGACTGGAGATTAACACCCGCCTGAAGAGTTAATTAATAACTATATATGCTTATATATGCTCTTTCAATATTTTTAATATCTATTAATTGTATATAGTGATTATTGATTAATTGATTGACTATTCACCCTTTTGCTTGCTTTTTTCTGTTTTGATTTACTATTTAGTATCATATATATACGTTTAGATTGTACTTAATTGTGGATAGATAAGTTAAATTAGAATTGATTAATAATTATATAGAATTGTGATTGAATAACAGTAAGAGCTTAGTTAAAGGGGAGTGTTAATTTAAGTAATTTAAATAATATCTGTGCATGATAATTTGGAAAAACCTTCTTTGCTTAGCCAATATGTCTACCACAGTGAAATCCACAAAAGTGGCGAAGAAACATATAGCCTCTACTGTGGCATCTTCTCCAATAACAACGCCTCCAGGATTAAGGAAATCATCAGAAAATTTACCAATAGCAGAAAAACCAATCACGATGCAAGGAATGCAGGCGATGTTTCAAAACATCCAAGAAATAATGGAAAAAAATCAAGAATCAATTTCTAAAAACTTTGATGATTTGAAAGTGGAGATAAGCGGACTAAGAGGAGAAATTGTACAAATAAAAGAGACTTTGGGAGAAATGAGAACAACTATTTCAGAACACGAGGAGCGATTGATAGAGGTGGAAAAAACTACAGAAAGAGTTGAAACCCAGATTGATAAATGCGAAAAGAAATGTGCGCAAGCAGTGGGGAAACTTGAGGACGAAGTAGTCTTCTTAGAGATGGAGAAATCTACCTTTTTCTTATGTCTCCAAAACGTGGTCGAGGACAAAGAGGAACAGCTGGATGAAATTGTGGGAGAAGTAATTGCAGAGGTAGTGGGGAGGAAAAAAGAAGAAGTCTGTGGTGATATTGATGAAGCATATTGTGTCTATACCAATTATGCGAGACGTCATAACCTGCCCAGAGAAATACATGTGAGGCTAACTAAAAAGGCGTTAAGAGATGAAACTCTCCACAAAGCCAGGGATCAGAGTGTTACATACAAAGGACGTCAGATCACAATTTTGAAACAGATCCCCAGAAGAGTGAGAGAGCAGAGACATAATTACCAATTCATAACTACACAACTGAGGAAACACAATGTGCCGTACAGATGGTTATTACCAGAAGGACTTTTGGTGACATGGCAAGAGCGGAAAATTAAAATTGAGAACATACATGATGCACAGGAATTTTGCGAAATTTTTTTTGAATCTGATGAAAGTGAAAGAGACAAAGAAGTAGTCAAAGAGAGTCAGAGAGATCAGAAAGAGGAGTGGAAAAATGAGAGAGGAGCACAAGCGTATTACGGAAAGGGGAAACGAAATGGGAGGAAGGGGGAAGAAGGAGGAGTAGAAGAATATGGGGTAGAGACTAGATTAGCAGTTAAAACTAAAGGGATTAAATAGATAGAAATGAATCAAGGAGTGAGATTACTGATGGTGAACGTCAATGGTCTCAATGCCCTGACCAAAAGAAGACGTATTTTAGCTAAAATTACTAAAGCCAAAACGGATATAACATGTTTACAAGAGACTCATATTAAACTGTCACAAACAAATTTATTGAAATGCCCCAAAGCAGGGAAATTATTTGTAGCGGATTCAGAGGAGAGAAAAAGAGGAGTAGCAATATTTGTAAAAGAATATCTCTCGTCGAAACAAATATTCGCAGATGAAGAGGGAAGGATGCTAATATTGGAGGTGGAATTATTGCAAAATAAGATTTTATTGATTGGAATTTACGCCCCCAATACTAAACAAACATTATTCTTCCGAAGATTAAGAAGAGAAATTTGAGAATTGGAATACGAGCAAGTATGTCTCATGGGTGATTTTAATGCAGTTAGCAATAGGACTCAGGATTATAAAACAGGAGAAAATTCCCCAAAAAGAAATAGAGGAAAAGATAAAAGAATTCTCCAGCCATTTGTGAGGAAATGAGAGACGAATTAGGACTGAAAGATACCTGGCGTGAACATAATCGGAATGTAGAGCAATTCACTTATTATTCTCCCAGACACAAATCGTGGTCCAGATTGGACATGATTTGGATGACACAAGAACTTAATTCCCAAGTAGAAGAAATTAGAATTTTACCGAATGATTGGGCGGACCATAATCCAGTACTAGCTGTATTAAAAAAAGAGGGGAAAAATAGAAGAAGGTGGATGATGAGATCAGAGATTTTAAATGAAATTGAATTCACACAAAATTTAAGACAGAAATAACCCTTTTCTTTCAAGAGAATAAGACACCGGGAATGCCACTTCAAACAATTTGGGATGCTGCTAAAGCCTTTATAAGAGGTCTTATTGTAAAACATATGGCCATTAAACATAAAAAAGAAGAACAAGAAAGGGGTGATCTAATAAATAAACTAACAAAGGCTGAGGAACAGCTACAAGATAACCCACTAGCTAGAGAGGCGAAGGAACAGATAATACTGTTAAAACATCAGCTTAATCTTTTAGAATTGGATAAACTGAAAGATAAGCTAAAAGCAGCAAAACAAAAACATTTTGAATCAGCTAATAAATTAGGAAGATGGCTTACATATAGACTCAAAAAAGAAAAACAGAACAGACGAATTGATCAGTTAGAAGATAAGGTGGGAAATTTAATAAAAGATAAAGGAGGAAAGGAAAGAATTGCAGTGGATTTTTATAAAGAATTATACAAAAAAGAAGAAATCTTAACAGAGGTGACAAAAAATTATATTGAGAAGGGGCGTTGGTCCTACCTGACACACACCTTCTCGTTGGGTGGAGACAGCAGCCAGAAGTGGGTTCAGCTCATGCAATCAGATGAAGGACTAAGCCTGTCAAAGCTAAATCCCGCCCCTGTTGCTAGGGGCTCCCAGCTTTGTGAAGGATGAAGACAGGCTTGACATGTGGAATAAAAAACAGAAGAATAAACATACTAATGTCCAGACTGACAGGGTGGGACTGGCTGCTGTCTCTACCCAACGAGAAGGTGTGTGTCAGGTAAGACCAACGCCCCTTCTCCATTGTGGGATGGAGACAGCAGCTAGAAGTGGGACATACCCAAGATCAACGTCCCAAGTCTAGGGAGGGAACAGTCTGGGCGAGCAACTCCCCGTCCCCCCGAACTCCTTGGAGAACCCTCCGCCCGAAGGCAGCCTCTG